TTCATATACTAGCCTTGTGCACTAAGAGTGGTTTAACATCTCTTGATAATGTAGTCGACCTCATATCGTCGCAGGCCTTAAATAAGCAAAAGATTGATGCCTTATAAGAGGAAGTCATCTCAGTGCATAAAGGCTTACTAATGTATAATAATGTTCACTGGTTGAGCCGAGGGAACGTACTTCAAAGATTTGCTGACTGCTTAGAAGAAATCAGACTGTTTCTGCAAAATGAGGGGAAAATTCAACAATACCCACCGTTGTTGGATGTCATGTGGCTTTCAAAACTGATGTTTCATACAGACATATTGCAATATTTTAATGAACTGAACGTAAAGCTTTAAGGCACAAATAAAACAATTATCGTTATCAGGGATCTCATTCTCTCTTATAAAGCTAAATGGCATGTTTTTAGAAACGATATTGCTACAAGAAACTACAAGTACTTCCCAAACTTGAAACAAATACCAAATATTTAGATTTACATGAGAAACCAGACGAAGAAAAAGTTATTGAATAATTTATTTCCACAACTGGTTCTTCAATCGAGGATTTTCGGGAGAATTTTTAATTCGAAGAATTATAGGAAATGCTCAAGTTTGTTATTCGCCCTGATGTGACTTCAGTTGATAAATTGAACTCGCCCCAATTCGATTGGTTGGAAATTGGAGAATTTGAAATATAACCGTGTGATTGATTTCCAGTCTAGTTCAATATGGATTCAAAAATTTAATGAAACAAGGAAAAAGTTGGAATTTATTGAAACAGAAAGACTAACAATCAATATATAAAAATGCCAGTAACGAAATTTTGGTAACATGGAATTCGATTCTAGACACATTTAACTATTTGAAAAAGCTGACTCATGTTATTTTAACCCTATTTTCATCTACTTATGACTACGGGTCATTATTGTCAGAGATGAATAACATTAAAGACTCGTTTAGAAACCGTTTGGCAGATGACTCCAATTCAGCATGCATTCTCCTAAAAGTAACATCTTGCAATCCTAATGTAAGTTATTTGTTATCTAATCTGCAACAAGAAGTAACACTAATGTTACTTTAATTTAAATTACACGTATAACTAAAACTTTTACTACTGTAAGGTACAAAATGTATTTTTCGTAGTATAAATCTAATATTTAGTTAGTGTATTAGTTAGTATTTAGTATTAGTTAGTAGTTAGCATTAGTTAGTAAGTGTATTTATATATAGTATTAGTTAGTAGTTAGTGTTAGTTAGCAGTTAGTATTTATAGTATTAAGTAGTTAGTATTAGTTAGTAGTTAGTATTTATAGTATTATTTAGTAGTTAGTATTTAGTATTATATATAGTAAGTAGTTAGTATTAGTATTTAGTTTAATTATTTTCCCAATAATCACAAGTCAAAGTTATTTGAAGGCACGTCTATACCGCATTAAACATTTCTTTATAAGAAATTGCACGTTGATCCATAAAAGTTCGCCACCCCTAATCTAGAGAAAGATCTAAAAACTATATTAATGTCAGAAGCTGGAAAAGTCAGGTCTAGAACAGGACAACTTGGAAGGAAATTCTTAGGAAGGCTAAGGCCCACCCCGGGCTGTCGTGCCATTGAGGAAGGAAGGAAGACAGTCATTCTGCAGACTCTCAAGTAAAAATGAAATTGCGGAATTATTTTTCACAAACTCTGCTTTTGAAATTAGTTACAGAAACTTTTATACCTGACATTTTATTTAAACAAAAATTATTCTTATTCATAAAAACACTTTACCTAAACAATTATCAAATTATCCGTAATCATGACACACTAAGCTCTGTGAAGGTATGAATAGCAAAAGTTGATGTACTGATAGTGTATAAATGCCGCACTTTGAAGCAACACGAGGGCTATTCGTGATGAATGTAGTGTCATGACCCCCAAGTTTGCTTAATTCCTGGGTAGCGAAAGGAATCACTTAGCTTGGGTAAAATATTATTTTATTTACAAACTTGTGTAGAAATTTCCACCCTTATTATGTTATTTATCCTTCGCTGCGCCACAGCCTTTTTCTGGAGAAAGTATCAAGTCCAGATCGCAGTTCACTGATCCTTCCGAACTCTGGTCCCTCTGCCACGCAGCCTATTGCAGGTCTCCCCCTTTTATAGCAGTAGTCCCCGATCACCTTCCGAACCCTCTTTAAACCCCCTGGGTGGGACTCTTTCACACCCCCAATAATTTCTGAATCCAGCACCTTCTGTCTTGATTCCAACCGCCATTGTTTCATCGGGGACAAAAGTCTGTCTCAATTTGTAACGGGTTCTATTCCGGCTTCTGCTAATCCTCTTGGGGAAAGTACTTTTTTTCATGTGAAATATTAGTTTAAAAATTGCTTTCCGTAGAGATGACTTGGTTTTATGTAAATTCAAACTTCTATTTAAGTACCAGTTGTTGAGTAGGTAAGGTAATGGTTAAGAGTTGACCGTGAGCGGAAAACCTAGTGTTAGCGACTGGTGGTCACATGTCGTAAGATTAAATATAGAGGGGGAATCCACGGAATAGTGGAAGACGTACCCTTTACAGCTGAGTGAGCTATCAAGCTGAAAGAGATTAAGAGGTAAAGCCGTACAAGGAATTAAGCACTTAAGCCAGGAATTAAGTGCCTTTCATATATTTGATATATGACTTCGGGTTAAAGTCTTATTGGTCCTCGGGTTTAGTTATTAAAGTGCATTTCTAAGTGTTAAAAGTTGAATAAAATTAGTGATTCTAATATCATATCTGTTTTTTCCTCTAACCCACTGACACTCTCGGCCTCCGGGCCACGACAGACTGAGATTCTATGCCGCTGCATCACGTAAACCATATGAAGGGTTTATAAATCGACCTGCCACTTCGACGTTGGGAATACACTCCTTGGAATTACTTCCTCACAAAAGTCGACTCTCTTTTCCATTTAAGTGTGTCAGGTCCACATGTGAGAGGGAACGAAAGAATAGACAACCGTCAAAACAGGTGAGCCCTTCTATAGAGCGCTATGAAGAAAACACCATCAGCGGAATCTTTGCGCCCTTGGGTATAGAAGAAGAAAAAGAGGAGAAAGAGGGTGTAAGAACTTTAAAATTCGAAATTAAAATTTAATTCTTCAGTTTTTTTTTCTATTTAGTATGATATATGTTTAGGTATATACAATAAAGTAATGTGCTTTTTTCGAAAGATTTTGTTATAAAAAAGTTGATCAGTTAAGGGGTTAAGAAGAGCTAAGCGAATGTAACCATTACTTTCTTTATAAAATAGTTGTATAGGTATTTTTCAACTCCAGGGCAACACAAAAAGAAATTTTCTTTCCGAATGAAAAATAGTTTCGTTTTGACTAGCACAGTCACTCTTTTTCACCCTGAATACATTTCTCTGTTAGTTTTTCCGCTATTTAAGATTTTGAGCAGATTTATATTTGGCTTTCTTCTACGAAGTATTTTTGTATAAGAATATGGCTTGAATTATATTATCCATAAAATCATAAATGTTTGTATTTCACATGACTCAATAAAAGAAATTTCAAGACTATTATGACAACGAGAATTGTTAAATGGATTTTATAGCTTTATACCATTTGTTGAATGTACATATGATAGAGTAAAATTTTCTATATCCCATATTATTTTTTATAAGAAAAGTTATTTGCCTTTTATTTTAGAAATGTATGTGGAATATTCTACTTGGAATGTATAGGAGTGCTTTAATATGTGCTTATGCATTTTATTTGCGTGTGCGTTACATATATGTGTGTATTTTTTATGTGTATTTTGGCTTCTGTTTCTTTCTTTTTAAATTCAGCTATGTGTGTTTTGCTTCACGTATTAACTATTTCAAAATATTAAATTTTAGATAATTTATACTAATATATAGTTAAGAATTAATAGGGTGTACTAATTATTAACAAATGTATTTTGTAACGAGTAATGTGCAAATAGTGGCAATTGAAATATATTTCAGGATATATAATTTACTTTTTATTAGTATATATAATACGAATGAGCACTTCTAAAAATATGTTTTGCTTTGTGAGATCACTTTAGTTCTCTAACATAACAAAAGAAATTTTAAATTTCTGACATGGATAGAATTTAAAGTTATATTATGTGCTTTTGTTTACTTTTTTTGTGCTTTCATCTTGCACTAAATAGTAATTTTTTTATTTAGTCTAGCATTATATTAAAAATATATAAGAAATTATAGTTCTAATGCATTTAATTATACCTATTAATTGCAAATTTATGGTATAAAAATTGGAAATCTCATCAACATAATAGAAAACAGATTTTTTTTTAAAACTAATCAAACAAATCATAACAATTGCCTTCAGAAATCAAATTAAAATCACAGTCAAATCTATCAACTAAAGACCTATATCTTAATAGAGAAAACAGTAAAAATCTGAATCCTCCTAAAATCTAGTTTGAGAAATGTATTTTTTTATGAGTTTAAAAAGAAAATGTTAGAATCGGCAATGAGTTAAATCGAAAAAATAAACTAAATCTTTGCAGTCAATACAAATCCCTTTTTAAATATTTCATATTCGTAAGCTTCTATTTTTAAGCTGCATATTTTTTTTTTAAATATTGTACCAAGTAATGTTATTTTAAGGTAACCTGAATGATACATACAAAAAGGTTTTTTTTTTTCAAAGAATTTTTTAAAAATGAATGAAGGTGTCTAGGGACAAATATAATAGAAATGAACAAGTAATATATATATATATATATATATATATATAACTAGAATAATTTTCTTCTTAGGTCAACAAAGAAAAATTTAATTTTAGTCACTTTTTATTTAATAGTTACAATTTATATAAATATGTATATACATTTGACAGAATCACAATATTAAATGACAAAAAGGAAAGTGATTTTCTATTTTCCTTTCTATATAGGGTGTTGAACTATTAGTTTTGCTTGTTACTATTTATTCATTAATTAAACTTAATTATTCCAATAAAATAGTATAGTAAAAAGAAATTACATTCTGAGAAATTAGGCTATCCCTGATGGGATTTGAGCCCACGACCTTTGGATTAGAAGTCCAACGCGATTTCCATTGCCCTACAGGGACACAACAAACGATTTTCCTATTTATATATGTTGTTGGACTATTATTTTTGTTTGTTACCATTTGTTCATTAATTAAATAGAATTAATGAATTAATATTTTTTAAAAAAACTGTATTAACATCAAGTGTCATCGACTACAAGTTTAAAAAAATATATTTCAATTTGAGGGGATGAATAAAAATTATTTTATTAACGATTGAAAATTTGAACAAGATATATATATTT